GCACATGGTCTCTCATAATTAAGTAAAATCCTTTATACATAGATACTGTGCATTACTATACATATACATATGAATTTATGCATACATAGTTTTGTATTTTACTTATCAAATTATGGTACTATACTGTATTGGTGATTTAAGACTTTTTTTTTTTTTTTTTTTTTTAGAGAGATTTTTGCTATAGGGCATGTGTGCTCACCAGAGAGACAGAAAGATAGAAAATGAGAAAGCACCCCTTGGGGGAATGGCCACACCACAATCCCTTCCTTTCATTCTCAGGATTTGGGGCATGCATGTAGGTGCACCTGGTGTGAGTTTTAAGCTGCCTGGTCTGGGAATCGAACCACAGTTGGCCATGTGGGAGTCCAGCAATGTAATCATTACACTACCTGATGGTCCCAATTTAAGAATTTTTTTTTCTTTTTAGAGAGATATTGATTTTTTTGCAATAGGGTGGGTGCACTTGCTGGAGAGACAAGAGAGATAGAAAGCAAGAAATCACCTCCCAGGGGGAATGCCTACACTGAAATGCCTTCTCTTCCATTTTCCTATTGGGATTTTGGGCACATAAGCACATGCACCTGGCATGAGTTTTAAGCCGCTGGGTCCGAGACTTGAACTGCAGTCAAATATGTGGAAGTCCAGTGATGTAACCATTATGCCATCTGCTGATCAACTAAGAAATTTTTAAAAAATATTTTTCTTGACTTTAAACAATAATGTCCTCATATGTGTTATTCTCATTTATTACTCTATAGTCAATCTTAATTATAATGAACAGTTTTAACAACTGTCTAGTAAACCACGCTTTTTAAAATGTTTTTAAAAAATTTTTAGAGGTTTCCGCTATAGGGCACGTGTGCACGCCAGAAAGACAGAGAGAGACAGAGAGACAGAAAGCGAGAAATCACCCCCCCAGGGAGGATGGCCACGCCACAATCCCTTCTCCTCCATTCTCCTCTCGGGATCTTCGGCGCACACACACACATGCGCCTGGCGTGAGTTTAAGCTATAGGGTCTAGGACTCGAACCGCGGTTGACTAGATGGGAGTCCAGCAACATAGCCATTACACCAACTGTTGGTCCCCCTAGTAAACCATTTTGGCACTGATGTTAATTGCTTTGGACTCATTTTCATGGATGCTGGTATTTTGTCCTCACGGCCTTGCTCTGTGCCTCTACTGTAACATCCTCTTTCCTCTCTTAGAATATCTCCTGGTCTACCCTCCTGAGCTGTCATCACATCTTCACAGGTTCCAGCTCAGCTTATACTGTTGTCCTCACTAATAACCACGATGAGTACTCCTGCACTTTAGGCGCCTGGGGCCTGGGATAATCTCTTATAACAACTCCGACTCACTCCCTATTCAGATGGTTTCAACAAATCTTTACTGAGTTCCTGGTGTAGGTTAGGAAATGTTTTGGGTACTAAATATTTAAAAATATATGATCCTTCACACTAATGTGACTAGCCATATAGACATTGTAAAATATTATCAAGAGGAGAAAAGATAATATGCATTACTAAAATAAAGAGCATTATGCAATGCATATATATATATATATATATATATACACATATATACTTATATAATATTAAAATAATGTATATAATAAATATATAATAAAAATAAATTTAACTCATTCTTTTAAAGTATGATGAAGGCACTTTTAATCTGCAGAGAAAATAAAGCTAATAAAAGGAATTTCTATTTTGTATCATAAGAAATTTAGATTATGAATGTGTTCTTAATCACTGTAATGAGTTATGGGAAGGGCTTGTTTAATCAACTTATCCTAAGCAAGATTCATTTCGTTTGTTTTTGATAGCTTGACTGGAGTCTTGCCTGAGGGCATAGTGAGAGAGCAGATGACAGTTCAGTTTCAAATCCTTAGATCTGATGGTGTAAGCGTTGCCCATTTTTAATTTTAGAGTTCTGTACCTTACGTATGTACTTAATAAATTAGTTCCAGTCACAGATTTTAAATCTGATCCTTGCAACTAAAACCAGATAGAAAGTGGTTACTTTGTTATTTTCCCCAACTTTCTTCATACTTGTGCTCTGGAGATAAGGAGGCCTCTGGCCTCACTCTCTACCTTCCAGATGTGGTAGTTCTACTCCAAGGTGCCCCCCCTCCCAATTCAGCCACCTGGTATCTCCTGATATTCAAACCCCTGTGTCACCCTTTCTGACAGCATACCAATATGGCAGGAGCAATGATGTATCACTTCTAGTATCAGGAAACAAGATTTCCTCTTTTGTCTCTGGTACGCTCTTGCTCATAAACCTTTTATCTCCCTCTTGGATCACCAGCTCTGGAAGAAGCCAAGTGCTCTGTCTCCATAACATTCACAGACAACAGTGAGTGGCAAGGAATTGAGGTTCAAAGACCTACACACTATGAGGAACTGAGCCTGCCAGCAACTATGCAAGTGAGCTGAGAAGTGCCCCCTGTAGATTCAGTGAGTCTTGAAATGACTGTTCTCCTGTAGCTCATCAGAAACCCTGAGCCACACCCATCCAGTTAAGATGTCCCGCAGATCCTTGATCCTCAGAATGTGAGCCAGTCCATGTTTCTTATACTGAGCTGCTAAGGTGTGGGGTAATTTGTTATGCAGCAATAAATAACATATACTTGGTTCATAGGGAAACCTCCATGCGATAAGGAACAAACAGAGCCTCCACAGAATTTGTAAGGTTGACTGGCCCACAGATTCTTAAAGAGGGAAGTAGCTGCTTCATTTCCTCTATCTCCAGTCCTGGCTTTAGAGTTTATTATCTCTCTTTTTTTAAAATTTGTGTTCTATTTTTAGTTTACTACTGGCCACACATGCTCACCAGAGAGAGAGAGAAGAGAGAGAGAGAGGGAGAAAGAGAAAGAGATAGAGAGAGAGGGAAAGGGAGAAATCACCCCCAGGGGAATGGCTATGCCACAATCCCTTTGCCTTTATTCTCCTCTAGGGATTTTAGGGACATGCACTCATGCCCAGAATGACTTTCAAGCCATTGGGTTGGGATTTGAACTACAAAGTCGGCCATGTGGGATCCAGTCACTTTAACTACCACACCACTTAGCTAGCCCTCTATAGTTTGATCTTCTAATGAATGGCAGGGATAATTCGGTTTCCTCTTTCAAAACTCATTTGTTCATTGATTATAGGGATTGTTGAAGAAAAACATTATTTTCTTTTTTCTTTTTTTGGAGAGGTTTTTGCCATACGGCGTGTACGCTCGCCAGAGAGACAGAGAGACAGAAAGCAAGAAATCACCCCCCACAAGGGGGGATGGTCACACCGCAGTCCCTTCTCCTCCATTCTCTTCTTGGGATCTTGGATACGCAAACACATGCACCCAGCGTGAGTTTTAAGCCACTGGGTCTGGGACATGAACCGTGGTCAACTACATGGGAGCCCAGCGACATAGCCATTAAGCTAACTACTGGTCCTAGAAAAACATTACTTTCTAATTATAACTATGTATACATAGGCAAGGGTACTTCAGAAAGTTCAGGGGAAAATAAAACTATGTACAAGTTTATTTTGGTGTGAAAAAATTAAAATCCATGGAATACATATCTTTATAACACACATTTTCCACGAACTTTTTGACGACTCCTTCATATATAGCTACCTCAATGTAACAACGTTAAAAAATGCTCTTACTATTTTTATTATGCATGTAATCATATGTAGAGAATGACAGAGAGTTGGAGAAGTTGGATAGATCGTCCACATATAAGTACAAACTTCAAGTCCACAAGTGCATTTTACATTTATATGTATATTCACATATTCTATCTAGATCATATATATCCTTGTCTATATATAGATAAACATACATGTATAAAGGCATACTTTATACATAAAGATTTATCTGTATACTAAAATTAAGATCTGTATATTGGTAGTTAACAATTTTTAAAAGAGATTAATTTAGATTAGCAGTTTATTGTATTATACACCAGCCCTTTAAACTTTTCATAAAATTAAGACAGATAAAAAGCATAAAAGTGTATTTAATGAATTCTAAACAAATAGGTATGTAGTGTTTTATATGTAAATATGTATAATTCTTTTAAATGACTCCATATTTATAGTTTATTTGTAAAAATATAGATAATAAAAATAATGTAGCTTTTACTGAAATTGTTTCATTCAGTGTTTCTTTGGCATGCTAAATGCAGTACATATAATAAAACCAAGAACAAATTACTATTCTTTACTCTTACTAGTCTCAATTTCAATTAATTAGTACATTCCTTATAGACAATAAGAAGTTTCCATTTGTTATTTACTAGTACTCTACTTATTTTTCAATAAAATACTAAATAATAGAGTCAATCTATAATTTGGTGACATTTCATACTTAATTGTGGTTCATTTCTATAGTAACTAAATTTTTGGCTAATTCTCACATTATCAAGGTACTAATCTCACAAAATACACATTCCTCATAACTTTATGGGGATCAGAGTAATTTTTTTCTATTTTTAAATATCTTCCATCTATCTGTATGTGAAGATACTCTATCCCTCTCTCCTCCTAATTAGTATTTATCATTTAATTCCAAACATGAAAAAGAAAAACTTAGGGCTACCATTCAGTAGGATGACTATTTTCTATTTCAATAATGATACACTAGTAATAAGAATTTTTTTTAATAGAGAGAATGGAAGAAATATGTAAATAAATATCGACTGAGAAATTGAACATTTAAAGTCACTTTAACAATCAGGATATATCTATGCTGTTACTTTCCAAAATTATATACAATATTTGCTCCTGTAAATAAGAACAAATCTAATTAGAAGCTAGGTAAAAATTAATTCACCCACTGGTGATGATGTGTATAGTAATGTCTTTGTCTTGACTGATGTGCATGGTAATCGTGCTGGATAAAGAAATGTTATACACTATAAAAATATATGTGATTAAATTTAATATAAATAATAATAAAAAAATTAAATCACCCCCTTGGGAAAGACTCACTGTCACTGACCTGTGCACCCAGGTCTCTGGAATATTGTGAGCTGCATACACGGTGAAGCTTAGGTGGGAATGGAGTCCAGGATGTACACAGGAAATGCTTCCGGGTGCATTTACGGGCTGAAAATCTGCATAAAAGCTGCTACAATACATGTGGGTTAGCTGATAGATAGATGAGGAGAGTTCAGTTGTCACTTTCTCTATCAAGCCTGGAGGGAAAAAGAGAGCTATCAGGTCATCTCTGAAGGGACTATTTATTATAAGCCAATAATTACAGCTTTGAAACTTATAATAAAATTTAACTCAAATGACCAACTGAAGCCAACTGGCCACCTGTGCCTCAGAATACAGCCTGGATGAACTCTTAGCAGAATAGATATCAGAAAGTTCTTGTATATGCAACAGTAGAAAATTTGAAAGCATAGCCTTTGAATCACAAAAGCAGTTTCTGTTTGTCTGATATTTAATAATTACTTGTTTCTTCTAGGAGAGAGAGAAGAGCGAGCTAGAGCATCCCCAACAAGGTCCTGATCCTTCGATCCACCCCAGGTCTACCCAGCCCAGACTATGGGCTCACGAGTACCCAGCACACTTAAAGTCTCTGTACATGAACTGGCAACCTTCTCATGTGGGTCTGCCTCGAAGAACACTAGGGTTTTATGATTGTGCCACTGTCTGGTTCCCACAAATAAGATTTTTTTTTTTTTTGGAGAGGCTTTTTGCTATAGGGTGCATGCGCTTGCCAGAAAGACAGAGAGAGAAAGAGATACAGAAAGCGAGAAATCACCGCCCCCCCCCGCCCCCAGGAGGGATGGTCACACTGCAATCCCTTCTCCTCCATTCTCTCGGGATCTTGGGCACACACGCACATGCGCCTGGCATGAGTTTAAGCCACCAGATCCGGGACTTGAACCATGGTCAGCTACATGGGAGTTCAGCGACATAGCCATTACGCTAACTGCTGGTCCCCCACAAATAAGATTTTCAAAATTATTAATTTAGCATTTTGATCAAATGTAATTGCAATATTTTGGGTTCTAGTTTAGGATCATTTAGGATTAATTTTCAGACACGGGATATGTTTTCTACATGACTTATAAATACTTCAAACAAATTCCATCTAAAGAATTATTCATAATGAGTTTGATTACGCTGTGGTATTTATTATTAACGGAAGACTAATCACATACATTGTGCTGACATAAAAAGAGAATAATAATAGTGCATGGCTAGGATTTGAAAGAAGCTTGAAATGAAAGATTTATGATGTTTACTAAATCTTAACAAAATCAAAGCTTTTCTTGAATTTTACATTAGTTATTTAAAGGAACTCTATTGATTATCCCTGAAAGCGACTTGTCATGAGGAAAAATAATGAAAATAACTAGGTATACGGACTAGCAGTTTTCCCCTGGCACCTGAGGAGATCTTGAGAGAACAAGTAAGCACATTGTTAGAAATGATGTTCTTAGAATCCACTGCCGTACGATTCCAACATGTGCTGAATCCAATCACTCAGCACAGCTGTTTATTCAAACACATATATTTCCTTATAAGCTGTTTTTGAAACATAAATGCTTTTTGGTTTCTTGCTGTTTTGAAAAGAAATTAATATAAAGAGTAAGCTTTGACCAGCAGTTGGCGTAATGGTTATGTTGTTGGACTCCCATATAGCAGAGTGGTTTGAGTCCTGGACCCAGAGGTTTGAAACTCACTCCAGGTGTGTGTGTGTGCACATGCCCAAAAACCTTAGAGGAGCATGGAGAAGGGATTGCTACGTGGCCATTCCCCCTGGGGGATTTCTTGCTGTATGTCTATCTCTGTCTCTTTGGTGAGTGCATGTACCCGATAGCAAAAATCTCTGTTGCAAAGACAAAAAAAAAGAAGCAAGTGTTTTCCTTCCATAGGCTGCAGTTCCAATGCTGGGCATTTGGAATCTTCAAGAGGGAGGCGAGCTTCAGCATGGAGCTTCTTTTCACACTCTCTGTTCATAATTAAGCTTTTTGTTGTTGTTGTGGCTCAACATCTGCTATTACTCACTTATTCATAAATTTGCACATAGTTTATAAGATAGATAAGTTTTACTTATTGGCTACATTTCTTAAATTGTGCCTGTTGTTGAAACAGCCTGGGAGGATGGGCAGAGTGAAAAAACTCTAATCAAAATTCTTTGAGAAATCAGCAGTAGCAATTAATGAAACAGAGAGTCAAGCAGCAGAAAAAAAAAAAAAAAAAACAGATTAAAATAGTCTTAAACGAGCCCTCAGCACATTCTGGAGACCAACCAATAGGGATTCTCCTAAACAGCGGGAGGCAGAGAATTATTTATTTATGAAAACCTCTTATTCCCCCATTCCTGAATTGTAGTTCTCTGAAGCAGGAAACTTCTTGCCAATAATTCCAAGTCTTGGGCACATACGCTAATGAATAAATATCTAAAACAAACCATTAAGTTCACTTAGAGATATTATTAATTTAAGCCCCACCACACATTTTGAGGAACTTCAATTACTTGTATTTTTATATTTTTAATTATTTTTAGGAAGATTTTTGCTATAGGGCATGTGTGCTTGCCAGAGAAACAGAGAAACAGAAACAGAGAAATCATCCCCCAGGAGGAAGGCCACACTGCAATTCCTTCTCATCAGTCTCCTTTTGGGTTTTGGGGTGTGCATGCAAACATGCCCAACATGAGTTTTAAGGCACTGGGTCTGGGTCTCAAACTGCAGAAGACTATGTGAGATTTCAATGACTTAACCATTATGCCATAATTACTCAAACTCTACTCTTTATTTTTTTATGCAGAATGACAGTTCTTGGTTATAATTTGCTTCTTTGAGGTTGTACAGAGATGTGTCCTTATATAGTATGCTTTACTTCTAGAACTCTGGGTGAAGAAGACATTTCAAATAACATCATTAATATGCATGAAGGACTCCAGACACTGGGCATGGTAGCTAAATATGGTGAAATAATGTTTATTAGAACTGATTTTATTTTGGGAAAAGTGTTTTAATATCACAAAATCAAGAAGCAATGACAGTATATTCAGCCTTCCATATTCATGGCTTCAACATCTGTGAATTTAAACCAAATTGGAGATCAATAATATTTAAAAAACAAAACAAAACAAAACAAAACAAAAAAATGAATGTGTCTGCACTGAACCTTTACAGGCTTTTTTTTTTTCTTTCTAGTATTTACTCAGTGGGACAATATAACAACTATTTACATAGATTTTGCACTGTATTGGTTAGTCTAAGTAATCTAGAGGTATTTCAAACTACGTGGAAGGATATGCACAGGTTATATGCAAATACTATGCCATTTTAAATAAAGAACTTGAGTATCCAAAAACTTTGGTATCTATAGAATCCTGGAACCAATTCCCCATGGATATAATGAGGGATAACTGTATATATTAAAACTATGCTATTAAAATTTACTAGAATCTCTCATAATTTTCATAGAAAATCTCTCATAATTTTCACCAGAAATATGGGAATATGGGAGGATATTCCTAATAGAAAGAAAGCAAGGGCCAGTTCTAAATAGGCGTTCCTCCAGCTTGTCTATTCTAGATAATATCACTTAGGCTTGTGTTAATATTGTTAGAGGGTGTTCATACCTTCCCTTGCTCTATTATGTTCTGGAGTTTCATGAATAATGAACAGAAATATGTTTCACTAGCACAAGATTCCCCCCTCCCCATACCCTCTGCCTCCCTATTTTCTTATGTAATGTAGGGTAGAGACGTTTCTTAGAATTGAATGTTTTCCGTTTGAGTAATGGTAATTATAGGTGAAAATATACCGGTCTTTATATAAATTTTTACTGAGTGATTAAGGGTGTGCAGGCAGGTTGGGGTTCATTTGCTTTCCACAGTTACCTCTGAATCCAAGGTGTTATTCAAACATTTGTGAGTCAGACAATTAATTGCCTCAAAGATATTAAACTAGCACGTTACTATGCCAAATACTGCCAGTATGTGCCAACAAGAACATCCCTGGATATTAAATGCTATCATATCTTTTAACCAGACTTAAACAATTGAGGTTTAAAGTGTTCAGGCTAGTATCACAGAGTTGAGAAGTTGCAGAGTTGAGATTTGAAACCAATTCTGCCTGATTCTAAAAATTTGAACTCTGCTCTCTACACCATATAATCACACACCTATTATGTTCTACCAAGTCTTCTAGTGGTTTGCAATTTTATAGGCTCAGAGACACTGTGAACACTAGTTATTCCAGAACCTAATTTTTCTACCTATGATATTATCTTGCTCTTTCAAACAGAGCTTAAATTTAATTTGAAATTAGTGACTTTGGAGACCGAAAGCTGCTGATTTTCTGATTTTCATTGCTTCAAAATATAATTTGGTAAGTACTAAAATTATGCAGTGTCTGGATGGTTCTAAGAATACTTTGAGTATTCTTTTAAGGTTTTTTTTTTTTAATTTTTAGAGAGATTTTTGCTATAGGACATGTGCACTCTCAGAAGAGACAGAGAGACAGAAAGCTAGATCCACAAAGGGGTTCTCTTCCCTGCTCTTCCTTTCTCCTGTCAGGGTTTTGGTCATGCATGCACGTGTGCCCGGTGTGTTTCAAGCCGCTGGGTTTGGGATTCAAACTGCGGTCAGCAATATGGGAGTCCAGTAATGTAACCATTATACCAACTGCTGGTCCAAAGGATTCTCTTAATTTTTATAAATCACTTCATTTTTTATTTTTATTTATTTATTTATTTTGGAGAGGTTTTTGCTATAGGCCACATGCGCTCGCCAGAAAGACAGAGAGAGACAGAGAGACAGAAAGTGAGAACAGCCCCCCCCCCCGGGGGGGGATGGGCACACCGCAATCCCTTCTCCTCCATTCTCTTTTTGGAATCTTGGACACACACGCACATGTGTCCAGCATGAGTTCAAGCCACCAGGTCCGGGACACGAACCGTGGTTGACTATACGGGAGTCCAGTGACATAGCCATTACGCTAACTGCTGGTCTCCTCAATGTGTATTTTTATTCTTCACAGAATAATCACTTTCTTTGGTAAAAAGGAATTTTAGCAAAGCATTTTGTTCCCTCAACAAGTATTTTGTATTTTGTGTGTGTACGTGCATGGTGTGACCACATTGGGATTAAAAAATTGAAAAACAAAAAAAATGATTCTGGTTTCTATAACTTTAGTGTTTTTATATATTTATCATCTTTTAATATTTAAATACATGTGTTTCTTACCTGTTATTGATGTCTCTGAATTTTGGTGAAAATTCTGAAAAAGTATGCAAAAACATAAACTTGTTATTCATACAACGAATTCACAAGAGTCACACTGGTACTATCTAAAAATCTAAGCATTTAAATGTCTCTGGTGCAATAAAGACAATCATTTCTTGATATCAGAACAATGTTGCTTTTTAAACTAAAGAAATCTAAATTGTACAATAAAGAAAAGCCTTCCAAAGGTTGTGATAAGCAAAGTGGCCTATTTGAATTTATTCAACAACAATTGTTAGAACAGGCTCAGCCTTTTCAATATTATTAGACAGTTCTACAGGTATTGTCTAAGTTTAGACCTCCTCCATGACTAACTAAACACAGGTAATTAGAAATGCACTTAATCTTTCGATATATTCTAACCTTAACTTTTGATATAAGTGCATTTCTAATTACCTGTGTTTAGTAGTTCTGGCTCTTATTATTCAATATTACCAGTCTTTCAGATGTAAGCTTTGGGAAACATAAAAAAATAGTTAAAAAGTAAAAGGCTGGATTGAAGTAGATACAATCATATGGGTTTACTATATAGTTTCATTTATTTCTCTTTAGGGGATTAAAACACTGACGGTCAAGTACTTGAGAAACATAATATATCACAAATCATCCTAAATAAAAAAAAATGCAATCTGAAAATTTCTTTTTTTTCTTTTTTTTTTTTTTTAATTTGCTAGAGGGTACTTGCACTAATTGGAGAGAGACAGAGAGAAGGAGACAGGGAAAGCCAGAAAGTATCGGCCATGGTGGGTGGGCATACTGTGATACCTTCACCTCCATTTCTCCCTTCTTTGGGGATTTGGGGCATGCATGAACATATACCTGGTGTGTTTCCCAAGTGTTTGGGTCGAAACTCAAATCATTAACCACCATTCTACAGGCCAGTCCTACTTTGTCATTTAAATTTTTATCCAGCAGTGTGGGAGCTTTATTTATTTATTTTATCTTTGTTGGTAGCCTGTGATTACATTGGTAGCTTTGGATTTGCTGGCTATACCTTGACTATCCTGAAAATTATTTAAAACAATTCATAGGCTTACTAAAAATAAGGTGTTAGCCCAAAAGAAAACTCAATTTTCTAGTAAGATACATTTAAATCAACACTAATTTTTTTTAAAGAAATTTTGCCATAGGGCATGTGTGCTCTCCTAAGAGACAGAGAGACAGAAAGCAAGAAATCATCCCCCAGGAAGGATGGCCATACCACAATCCCGTCTCCTCCATTCTCCTCCTGGGATCTTGGGCATGCACAATATGCGCCCAGAATGAGTTTCAAGCCTCTGGGTCCAGGACTTAAACTGCTGTCGACCACATGGGAGTCCAGTGACCGTACCATCGTGCCATCTACTGGTCCCGACACTAATTTTTAAATTCATATTTAAAAGTTTGCTTTTGAGGAAATACATTAAAAGTCAGATTTCTTAAACAAGTAGAGAATATTTTTTTCTATAACAAAAAGTTGGCTATAGTATTCCTTTAAAGAGGAAATACTTCTGTACTTCGTGTTTAAAATGTAATTAAATGTGTACAACTTTTTATTTAAAAGTATCATTTCACATGAACCTTTTGATTGCATTTCTATTAGGTAAAATATTTTATTTGGGCATAGTTTCAGCCACTAGTTTTAACGGCTCTGCTTAAGATCTTCACCCTGTCTGTGTGAGACTATTATAGATGTTAGCCTGAACTGGATTTATCTAGAATTCAATGTATTCAAAAATATAAACTTGTATTATAAAATCACCATGACATCCACCTATACCACAATGAGAAAGACCATAGTTTTCATTTTGTGGTTCACTTATTGTGTGAGCAGTTAACAGAAATATATTATGTGAGCTTCTGAAAAAGAACTTGAAGGATGGAAACTTGTTTCCATTGCTGGAAGGAAACATAAAATGGAGCACAACTGTATTTGTGATATAATTGATCATCTTGCCAAAACTTACATTTAATAAATACCTAATACTTCCCTGCATGGCAGGAAATGGTCTTCTACAAATTAACTAAAAGTATAGCCAAGAGAAAGGAAAACTTCTCAGACTTCAGAGATTATTGGCGGAAGACCTGAATTTCTCAGCACTTCTTTAACCCTATGTTTGTGGTGAGTAGAAAGACTGAATTATGATGGCTTTTACTGGGAGTTTGTTCCTGCACACCTTTTGCAAAATGTACTTACTATTTTTTATAGTCTTCTTACATGGGTAGGCTCACAATTAAGATAAGATGGAGAGAAAACACCTTTATGGCTACTGAGAACTAGTGATTTCAGGGGAATAGGAGAAATGAAGATTTTCCACTGATAATTCAGCCTGTAGCCCACAAACTCACGTGGTAGACAGACTTTCAAGCCTCCTGTCTCTGTCTCTGTCTTTGTCTCTCTCTACCTCTGTCTCTGTCTCCTCATTTTTTTGTAATTTTTCCTTTTTAAAATTTTTAAAGATAAAGCAGTTTCTTGGCATTCAACCCCTCCTTTCCCTTTATCTTAATAATCCCCTCTCCCTGTCCCAAACCAGGAGAGGCAAGGGAGCAGGCTTCAGAAGACACCTTCATGGCTACTGAGCATGCTGCATGGTTTTCTAATTTTTGCTTTTAAAAATAATATTTTTTTAATAGTTTTTTCCTTCTCTTTGTCTCTGTTTCTTGGTTGTTTGTGTTGCTGTTGCTTCTCTCTTTCTATTTCCTTTTCTGCACTCTCCTGGACACTCAGATTGAACTTCAAGATTGGGAAGAAACACACTTTCCATCAGATGACTAGAAATCACCACAGTACCACAAGAAATATGGGAAGGCAAGAAAATACCTCTCCTCCAAGAGAAAAGAATAACTCCTCTTCATCCACAGACAGTTCAATGGAAATCATGGAAATGTCTGATAAAGAATTTGGAACATTCATATTGGTGAAGCTAACAGAGATGGAAGAGAAGAGACGGTGAACTGTAGAAGAGAATGGAAAAAGGAGCTGATGAGTCCTGGGAGGTGAGGAAATTCTTGCAAGATCTAAAAGAGTAATTACACACTTTACAAGAATCAAATGGAACTTTTAGAGATGAAGACTACAGTACAGGAAGTCAAAATCTCTTTTGAAAGTATTAAATGCAGACTAGATCATACAGAAAATAGAATCTCAGATGTAGAAGAGAAAATGGCTGGCCTAGAAAAATCCACCACAAAGAGAAAATTGCCCCAAAATTTGAGAATAATATATGATAAATACTAGATACCATCAAGCTTCCAAACATCCAGATAACTGGCATTCCAGAAGGTGAAGAGACTCATAAGGGCATTGATAATCTATTCCATGAAATCCTGTAAGAAAACTTTCCAAACCTGGAGAGGCACTCAAAGATCCAGTCCCAAGAAATACAAAGGCCCCCTAATAGTATCAACCCAAGAAGATCTTCTCCAAGACACATTATAGCCAGACTGACTAAAACCACAGACAAAGACAAGATACTAAGATTGGCAAGAGAGAAATAGCAAGTTACCTACAAAGAATATCCCATCAGACTAACAGCAGACTTCTCATTGGAAACAATGTGAGCAAGGAAAGAATGGGAAAATATTTTCAAAGTGTTAAGGGAAAAGCAATTGTGATCGAGAATACTGTATCCGGCAAGATTATCCTTCATATGGGAAGAAAAAAGAACATTCTCAGATAAACAAAACCTGAAATAATTTACCAGCACCAGACCAGATCTCCAAAAAGTTCTCAAGGGAATGCTATGTCAGGAAAATTAAATGTAGTCACACAGAAATAAGAGTTCAAAAACTAAGAAAATGGCCAACATAATCGTAGGGACAAGCCTGGAGTTGAATATTATACCCCAGAATTCAGTCAGGAAGATGGAACCACAACACAAAATAGATTAAGTACATGAGACTGAACTGGTGAAATAGCATTCTGTGACTTTTGACCAAAATATTGCTGCTTTTCTTTTAGGCCTTATTGGCCAGTTTTAAGAGTATTTGTCCTGTTGTGAGCTGTCAATAAGTTTATATACCTACTATTCGAACAGAATACTAACCTGTTTCCAGGCTTTAAGTTTTTTTTTTTTTTTTTTTTTTTGAGAAGTTTTGGCTATAGGGCGCGTGCACTCGCCAGACAGAGAGAGACAGAGAGACAGAAAGCAGGAAATCACCCCCCGGGGGGATTGGCA